TTGATCACAGTCGTAAGAAAAGTGTTGAAAGTGTAAAGAAGATTACAATATTTTTTAAGGGGTGCATCGGGCGCACCCCGAAAAAAGTAGTAGATTATTGTAAAAAAGAAAATCATCAATAAAAGACTTGTTTACAACAAAAACTCAGTTAGTATTTTCATTTGATCACCCCCCCCCCTCCCGGAAATATTTAACCCTGTATTTGTCGATGCATGTGAATTATAATTCATTCATATGACTATTATTAATCAACCAATTTTATGCATAAAAAAAACTATAAATGAACTTATCGTTCCAAAATAATTTGTATCACAATATTGTAATATAAGAAAATTATGTTCGTTTATAAAGAAAATCAATTAACTGTGCTCCCCGGCCTAGAATTCCAATACTTCACATTTATAGCAACCCACTAAATTTTGTGTTTTATTTCTCACGCCTGCCATATTTATCTATTATTTTGTTTTAATCACCGATATGTTCTCGTAATCCCACATCCCGTAATTGTAAAATGGTGAAGAGATTCAAATAAATGAATGAAAAGGACAAGACGAATTTCTAATGAATTTCTTTTAAAAAATGTTCAGTATTTCTCCCTTTAAAAAATGTATTGAATCAAATACCTTAAAATTTATTTGCATATAATTAATCACTTTTAACACATTTTCTGTCCGTCTTTATTGAAATAAAAAAAGAAAGAAAATCAAACAAATATGTAATACATTACCGAGTAATTTTATTTTGTTGTTTCCGTATTTTTTCACTCTTAAAATACCACCGGTAAGATATATCCGAATAATATTAGTTACAAACAACACAGAATGACATGTTGATCCATCAATAGCCATCTTTAAAATAAGACTTCCAAATGAATCCTACACTTTTCTCACACGATTACTGCACGAAAGTTGCACGTTTCTCACACGGTTCTTACACGAAAGTGGCACGTTTCTCACACGCTTCTCGCACGCTCGCTACACGGTTTGCACGAAACGCTTTGGAGCTTACACGAAACGCTGCACGGTTTACACGAAACGCTACACGGTTTGCACGAAACGCTGCATGGTTTACACGAAACGCTACACGGCTTGCACGAAACGAAAAGCGCACGAAAGTCACACGCTTTTTTGGGGTAGTAGCACGTTTCAGGGTCTGTAGGCATTATTCAATCATATGATAATTTATTTCCGGTTGCAGCGTTAATGTAAATAAAATATGTCAATATTTATTATTTAAAAAATCTCGACAAAGAGAATTTTTTAACATTCTTAAAATATTTAAACGTTTACAACAAATCCCAATAAAACAAATATATAAAAGAAACAAAAAGGTCTAAAAACAGTTCCTTGAGGTACACCTGAAACTATGTATGCAAGTGTTGATGTATAATCATCTAGGTCCACCCTTTGTTTTCTATTCACTTAAAACATGATTATGACGTAAACCATTTGTTTTGTTGTCCATTATAAAGCTTAATGTTTAGCTAACTCCCTTTAACAGTCCATTAAGCTACCTGTTTATTCTCTTTGGAAAAATAAGAATGGACACTTTTTCTTTAATAAAAATGGACAATTGAAACAAACAGAATTGAGAGTTACAGGTAAAGTTTGAAATGTTTCAAAAAGGAAACAAATACATTAAATATGATTTAACTGTCCATTCCTTAGACATAGACTTTTTGTGATTTGCATCTGGAAACGCAATTGTTATCCAAAAAATTACTGTGTACCCCTAGCTTACCTGTGACTGTCCATTCTGTAAACAATGAACTTCTCTATGGATGTGTGCTACCTCACAAAATCAATTCTTACCATCTGATACCAGTTTTGTATTAACTTTTCAGAACAAAGGAAACAAGAGCACCGCTAAGCGAGCAACCCTCTGCGGCAGGAACTTCACCGGAAATGGCAATGTCTTCGTACGAAAGAAAAGTTCTCAAGAGGGACGTTAAAGAAGATACAATAATCTTACATTTTTAACAATAGTCAACTGAAGGTTTATATCATCTTGGGGTGGGGTCTATTTTTAACAAAAGTTAAGGTGCATTGCATCTTGGGGGGGGGGGGGGGATAACATGCATACGTGACTTTGCAGTTTCCCTTATTCATAGCAGAAACATATCACGTATGCTATAAGTTTCAGTAATTTACTTACCTGAGTATACCTCACAGTTGCATGCAATATGCATCAAATCGGAGCATTCCCAAGGAAGCAATATTCTTTCGCAATGAAAAATGATAACATGTATGACGGTACTGAGAGGTCACTGAAACTTGTGAAATGCCATTTTACATGTAGCTTTCAAGAATTACGTGCACCTTAAGAATAAATACCATATTGTAAACAGGCACGTGTGGAATTCTGGTAATGAAACCGCGACGTTCATCAAATTATTTCAGTTACCCAGGGTCAGAGATGACACTTTAATTCAAACAGACTGTCTCGAGATACACACAAGAGTATGACTATACGCAAATACAAAGTAGAACTTACCGGAGCGAGTCTATCGAAGCGACCCGAATTAACCAGATTAAAAGCGGAAGTGAGTATTGTCAAGTCGTACATATATAATTTCAGGGTTTGAGGGTTGTAAAATTGCGATATTTTAGAGCTGACATGAATTCTTAAAAACGCAACCTTTTCATAATTGAATACAATAACGTCAGAGTAAAATGACGTAAAATTTCGCAAAAATGTTTCGCTCATACCAAGTATAGGTTTGGACTGTGAGTGTTGATAGCTTTCTCACCATTATGGCATTTTCTTTATTTTCTTGTTTAAATAGATAAATAGTTTAATGAATTTTTAAAAAAAAAAACTTTTTGAGGCATGGTCAACTTCTAAGTACAGATTAATATACATGCATTAGAATGATTTGAAAAAAAGAAAGAAATATTTTAGGTTTCTACATATTACATACCATTACTAAATTTCGTGATTTTGTCGCCTTTTTTATCCCATCCAACTCCATTTTCCACTTAAAACATCGCTGTGTGTTAAACAACATTAAGAATGGACAGAAAATTATTTCATTAAGTAATATGCATATAATTGTTAGAAATATACAGTATAACAATCATTTGATGATATAATGTAACACTAATGCGACTTATAAGCTATCTAATTAGATAAAAGTCCCATGCCTTTTTATACCCAAACTTTCTACAGAAAGCTCTGGTATATTGTTGTAACCCTGGTCCGTCGGGGGAAAAAAACAAACAAACAAACAAACAAAAACAAAAACAAAAACAAAACAAAACGGGCCACAATTTGACATTGCCCATATTCATTACAATAAAGGCAAGTTAACAATATTTTACTCTATTTTTTTTTTAACATAATGCATACAAATAAAGATCCAAAAATAACATTTTTTTTTTTAATTCCAAACTGGATTGCGCCTAGTTTAACTTCTTTATGTTTGAAATGTTTTCATTTTTATATGTGTTTTTATGCCCCTGTAATCGAAGATTTGGGGGTATATAGCTTTTGTCCTATCCATCCATTCGTCTGTCCGTTTGTATGTCTGTCTGTCTGTTTGTTTGTCCTCAAAGACTTTAACCTTACCCATTACTTTTGAGTGGATGGGGCTATGGCTTTCATATTTCACAGGTGTATTCCTTGTGACAAGTCATTTCATATGGTACCACCAAATTTAACCTTTTGATTTTTACCTTGGAGTTTGACCCACTTTTACAAAAGTTTACTACAATTCAACCTTGGCCATAACTTTTGAACAGTTGGTGCTAGAGCTTCCATACTTCATATGTGTATTCATTTTGACGAGATCTTTCAATAGGTGTAAATAGTTTTTTTTTTAATTTTTGAGCTTGACCTTAGAGTTTGACCCACTTTTTAAAAAAAAAACGTAATCTTGGCCATATCTTTTGAACAGCTAGCATTGAGCTTTCATATTTCACAGATGTATTCCTTGTGAAAAGACCTTCCTTTAGATTCCAACATCTTAACTATTGACCTTGATTTTTGAAGTTTGACTTGCATTTGAGAAACTTCAACCTTCGCCATAAGCTGTCATATGGGGACATCAGTGTTTCATTACATTTTTTTTTAATTTGGGTTGCATCTAACACTGCTTGAAATTTTATCTTTACAAAACTTTACTGCAGAAGTAAATAAGCTTAAAGGTTTTAAAAAATTCAAGGTTACCTTTACCTAAACTTTAATTTAATTAAAGAAGTAAAGGTTATCTTTAAGTACTTTTACATTAATTTAAATCTTTAAAGATCGCCTTTGCATTTTCTTTACTTACAACAAATGATGAAAGGTCACCTTTTTTTCTTTACTTTGCATAAAACATAAACTTTATGCTCCTTTACTTCTAACAAAAGTTTCAAAGGTGACCATTCTTGCTTTTAGTATATACAGTTGAACTTTAATTTGTATTTAAACTTTTCTGTATATATATATAAAAATTATCATATATGAAACTACTGAAAGATAACCTATAATTTAAGTAAAGTTTAGGTAAAGGTAACCTTGTTTTGTTTTTGTTTTTTTAAAAAACCTTTAAGTTAATTGACTTCTGCAGTTGTTTTGAAGATGAACAAATGTGATGACATGTTTTGACAGACCTGCAATTTATCTTTCCAGGCTGGATTTCATAATATGAAAATGAAATGCATACATGCTATCCATATTTAATTTTTTTGTCCATCTTGTTTCGCCTCTTTTTTTTAAATCAGGACATTTAATCAAATTTGATTTTAGAATGAATCTTTTTATGAAGGATAACCCATGATTTTCAAACAAATGTAAAGATAAGATTAGAAAAAAGATAAGATTAGAAAAAAATTAAGTTCCCTCCATACAATTTTTTTTTACAATCGACAAAACTTTAAAACACCTTCAAAAGATTGAAACGTTTATTCACAAAATAAAATTTTAATTTAAAAAATTCAAATAATACCTTGTACATTATGAATGCAATGGTAATAAATATGTATAAACTCTTGCATAATAACAAAGTTTTGCTACATAAATAATTACAAAATATAAAAACTAATATATTTGAAAAATTATATTCTGCTACTTTATCATGGCCCTTGCTGAATTGTGTTTACTGAACAAAAAATTTTAAAGTTGTGCATAAACTGAAGTGTTCAATGTGTGTTTGTAAATATGTTGTCTTATGTGTCCGGCTTCACACGTGCTGTATGTGCCCGACTTCACAAGTTTTTGTTGTGCATAAACTGAAGTGTTCAATGTGTGTTTGTAAATATGTTGTCTTATGTGTCCGGCTTCACACGTGCTGTATGTGCCCGACTTCACAAGTTTTTGTTGTGTATGGACTGAAGTGATCAATGTGTGTTTGTAAATATGTAGTCTTATGTGTCCGGCTTCACACGTGCTGTATGTGCCCGACTTCACAAGTTTTTGTTGTGTATGGACTGAAGTGTTCAATGTGTGTTTGTAAATATGTAGTCTTATGTGTCCGGCTTCACACGTGCTGTATGTGCCCGACTTCACAAGTTTTTGTTGTGTATGGACTGAAGTGTTCAATGTGTGTTTGTAAATATGTAGTCTTATGTGTCCGGCTTCACACGTGCTGTATGTGCCCGACTTCACAAGTTTTTGTTGTGTATGGACTAAAGTGATCAATGTGTGTTTGTAAATATGTAGTCTTATGTGTCCGCTTCACACGTGCTGTATGTGCCCGACTTCACAAGTTTTTGTTGTGTATGGACTGAAGTGTTCAATGTGTGTTTGTAAATATGTAGTCTTATGTGTCCGGCTTCACACGTGCTGTATGTGCCCGACTTCACAAGTTTTTGTTGTGTATGGACTGAAGTGATCAATGTGTGTTTGTAAATATGTAGTCTTATGTGTCCGGCTTCTGTTTATCTTTACAAAATAAACAACAATAAAAGTGCTCAAAAATATATATATATGCATAACCATTTAAAAAAACTACCCAGCAGCATTGAGGAAAAAAAATCATAGAAAAATGTACAAAGATGTCCTTTTTAGGCAGAAATAAGACATTTATTTATGCCAGAAATACTAATAAATCTAAACAACAAAATATCCAATGAATATGCTTGCCACATACATTCAAGAAAGTCTTCTTTTGCATAGCATATTTAATTTTAATTACAAAAACCTTTCACGTGGTATAACAACAATGGTATTAATCCCTTGCAAGTTCTCAAAAGCATAAACAAATTTGGATTTTATTCTCTGAATGGGAATAAAACTAGCAGGGCCTTCAATTTCATACATATTGGCCTTCCAAACTTCAACTGGTTTACCAAAATAATTTTTCATTGTTTCATTCACTTTGCAAAACCATTTAACCCTTGCAAGGCAATGGACATGTGATTTTCCTTCAATAAGAATATTATGCAAAATTATTTTCTCAACTTGTCCAGGCCTAGGTTTAAGGTCCATGTTCTCAAATGAAGATATCTGTCCATTATTGCCATACCAATGTGCAATTATCATAGAGGATCGATTGCTTCGACCTCGCTTGGTCCCAATAATATTTCCAAATACATTGATACTTTCAGTGGAACGAAAAGTATTACACACTTCAATGTTTTCAATTAACACATTTGGATATAAAACTTGGTACAGATGTTTCAAATATGAAAAATCTCTTTCATTCAAAAAACAATTTTTCAAAGTGGAATGAGAAAAAACAGAATTTATCATACCTAATGTCCAATCACACATGCTCACTTCAACATTTCTAGAGGACATTTTTGACAAACTGATATTTTGACACATATTCATCTCAGCAAGTGTGCCCCTATCTTTACTATCAATCATAGAAACAATTCTTTCAAACTCAGGCCCAAAATCTTGGCCAATATTTTCTTTACAATCAATATCAACAACATGCACAGTTTTCAAAAATTTTCGCATGAGTTGCAGCTCAACAAATCTGTTATTTGTAGGAAATGCACCCAAAATTCCATTTTCTCTCTCAAAACTGAATAACCAGAATGCATACACAGGACCAAAATCATACAGGCATTTGTCCAAATGAGCATGTAAATGTATATTTGGTGTAATGACCTCATCACCAAATGCTCTTTCAACAGATTCACAAAAAGAAATCAGCAATAAATGTGCAACTTTTACATGGTTTTTCGTCAATGATCTTGAACATAAAAATTTACATGCAAGAACAAATTTTCTCCAGTAATCAAAATGATCATTAGGAAGGAGATCTTTAAGTGCATACACTGAAAACATTATCGTCCAGTTTTTCCACTGATCAGCATTGAATGAACCATAGCTAGATGCAAATTTTTTGGGCAACTTTCCTATATCTGATGGACAATACACACCTGAAATCTTTTCTTGTATTTTTTCAAAATGATCGGGCAAGAGTACTTTTTTATCTTTCCATAGGGTCATCATACGTTTTGCTGTTCCTAAAAACAAGTTATGCATTGGGTCAATGATTGTCATACGAATAGGATCAAAGTACTCTAGCTCCAAGAGTACAGAATATCTGACTCCATACTTTTTTTCTAGCTCTTCTTTTTTTGTTTTGGTTTTTGACTTCATAATTTCCTTCACCATATTCATATGAGAATCTTTATCACGTTCAACCCATTCCCTCACATTAAACCCCCCATAATTTTTCTGACCAATAACTCCTTCAAAACGCTTCATGCACTTGTTACATCCCAAAGTAGCAGAGTGACCTAAAAAGCCACAAAGCTTTCTGCTTGCTGGAACATCACAACCCACACACAGAAGTGCCAGCCTAAAACTAACAGGATCTGAAGGAGATGTATAACTATCTAAATGGTACCCCACCCATGCTTCCTGCAATTCATCTACAAGAGGTTGTAAAAATGTATTTGTTGGGGGTTCAGTTTTACAGTCGGGTATTAATCCTACCAAAATAATGTTGTTTCTTTTGAATCTTTCTTCTCGTGGCAAATTTAAAACTGACAAATATATAGCACCTACTGAGTAATTTGAATACTTAAAAGGTTGAAACCAATCAACATTTAACATAAGTCCAAAATTATTTGGTTCTGTAAAAAAATTAAACTTCTCACCATTGAATTCTTTCCAAACATTTCCATCATAAACATCACTCAACACATCATCAGTGTAAGTTTGATGACGCCACTTTTCACACAAGTTTTCAAAACCTTTCTTTTTTACAAGCCTGTGGATACTCTCTTTAAGACTTTTATAACAGTATGTTTTTTTAGCAACAAAAGTTATCTTTCCATTTACTGTTACAGATTTAAGAAGAATTTCTCCACAAGGCTTTCTGAAATTGGCTAATTTATGGTTTGGTTGGACAACATTGTTACACTTTTTTGACACATTTTTACCCTCAATAATTTGTAAACATTGGGAAAAATCATACAGAGAAAAACATTTTGGACATACAACATATTTCTTGAAATTATCTTTTTTAAAATGTACTGAACTATTTGCCTGATACAATGTTGATGGAAAACTTTTGTAAAGAGCAGCAATAAATGATGAAGAAAATGAGCCAAGATAAAAAATTGATTTGATCAGCATGATAATGAATGATAAGGCCATATCTGAAATGAAAAAAACTGCTTGCCACCTAAACAGTAATTTTAAAATAATTTGTACATATTCACGGTTTCTGTCTGTTTCTGTAGGCATCTCAGATTCTCCTTCACTCTCCCCCATAAACATTTCAACAAGCTCCTCATCCTCTATATCAGTGCCTTCTTCACTATCTGAAGATATATCCTCCGGAACATTGTCCGATTCAAACGTAGGTTCAGGGTCCACAGCTTGTGAATAGTCTTCCTTTCTGGAGGAAGTAGATGGCATTTCTTCAGCCATTGGTTCAGGAATTGGTTCATAATTTCTGGATTCCTCCACATCTGTTACATTATTATCTTTACACAAATGTCTTTTGAAATATCTGTTAGAAAATTCCTCTTTGCAATTTGTGCAATATTTTCTTTTTCTTTTATAATGATCCATCACGGAACTGCAAACAAAGGATTGGGTACATTCACTAATTTGATTTAAATACTAAATATTCATATATCACAAGAGGCCCAGGGGCCACATCCCTCACCTGAGCACTTTGGCTTGGAAAAGGCCGAAATCAGTTCAGTGTTGGGGGGGGGGGAGGGAGGGAGGGAGGGGGGTGTATGATTTGAACTAACTTGAATCTACACTGCCTAAGGATGTTTTTGAATTAATATGACACATAATGGCTTTGCTGTTCTTAAGAAGAAAATTTTTATTGATATCTCCTTGGGGGGGGGGGGGATTTGAACAAATTTGAATCTACATTACCTCAAACTTAAATTCCCTTTACCCAAGAATACATTGTGGCAAGTTTGGTTGAAATTGGCCCAGTGGTTCTTGAGAAGATGAAAATGTGAAAAGTTTACGACAACGGCAATGACGACAATGATGACAGACAACGGACAAATTTTGATCAGAAAATCTCAATTGAGCCTTCGGCTCAGGTATAAAGCAGAAAATGAAAATAGACAAATTATTAATATTAAAAATTACCATGATGTAGCATTTACGTGTGATTATTATTTTCTTTATCATTTCTGGATAAGTTTTTTTATTACTTGTGGTTGAATGTCTTGTCAAAAAATTGTGTCCAAATTACGCCTTTAAGCATGTACATGTATTATTTAAAGTAGTCAGAGACTATAGTTATATAAATCAAGACCGCACTGATCTATGTTTTATATTAAGGTCACCTAATCTAATGATGTAAAAAAAAAAAATAATTTTGCTTACCACCAATCCTTATTCAGGTGTCTTGACAACAGACATCCCACAAAATTTCTTCAGCTTGTTCCTCGTCACAATATAAGATTTGAAGTTTTTCATAAGGGGGTCATCAAACAAATCTGTTGAAGATGAAGCAGTTGGTTTTGCTTTTGTATGTACGACTTTTGGATTTGTGACTATGGAAATGAAAAGAAATAATTTGAAAGTAAAAATGTGACTATAAAAATTCTTCATTTCATGCACTGAAACATGTAATCTCAGCGAGATCCGTAGAGACTAAAATTTTGGTCTGGTGTCTCTACAGATCTCAGACCAGTGTCACATAATCTCATTCGGGGCTTCATGCCCAGACTTCGACCGCTTTTTTCTATTAATACGGACTGAAATGAATTAGCTGTCCACTTCAACTTTTTGCTTTGGACATCCTTTTAATTCCCTATCACCATAAAACTTACGTTTCTTACCTCTGAAAAGTTTAAATCCATCAAAATATAAAGTTGTTGATTTTTCATAACAATAACCTATAGATTTGTTTAAACCTCCGATACTGAAGAGTTCCAGCAATAGTCTGCTTCAAATACTTTGTACTATGGTTCATTTCTATAGGAAATGGTAGTAGTAGTATTTTGTGTTGTTTTACCCCCAGGGGTCATGATTTTAATAATTTGTAATCTTCACTACTCCAGGATGCTTCCACATAAATTTCAGCATATCTGGCCCAGTGGTTCTTGAAAAGGAGATCTTTAAGGACTTTTTGAATATATTTTAATGTAAAAATTAGATTCCCTATTGTGGCCCCGCCCTACCCCTGGAGATCATAATTTTTACAATTTGGAATCTCGATCTACACTACCCAAGGAACCTTCCACATAAGTTTCAGCTATTCTGGCTCAGTGGTTCTTGAGAAGAAGATTTTTAAAGATTTTTTTCTATATATTTCAATGTGGAACTTGGATTCCCCTTTTGTGCTCCCCTCCCTACCCCAGGGGTCTTGATTTTAATAATTAAGAATCTAGGATGCTTCCACGTATGTTTCAACTTTTCTGGCCCAGTTGTTCTTGAGAAGATTTGTAAAGATTTTTTACATGCAATTTTGTTTTGTATATTTGTAAAATCAGTCAATCAGATAATCAAATTTATATCACATTTTGCTCAAAATATTTAATTTGAAAATTAGCAAATATACATGCATCTAAATTATGTGATAAAAGTATACACTTATTCCTTTCTACTTGGCTACATCGATTAAAACAACACAAATGCATATCACACCTTTCTTTCCTTCTCCTTCCCTTTCGTATTTCTCACAAAATGTTCCAAGAGATTCATCAGATGATGATAAATCCTCTGCCTTTTCTGGTGCAGAAGATTGGTTTTTCAGCTCTTGTCTTCTTTTTCTTTTCACATCTCTTCTTCTTCTTGATCTCCTCTTTACTTGTGTTGTCTTCTCATTTGCAAAATCTTTACTATCCATAAATCTGTAAGACATACCATCAATATAGTACACAATTAATATGACACACCTCAGATGCATTTCTGGTATGTTTCTTTTTTTTTTAAGTGATATATTAACAGATTTAGACTCAATGTATGTAAGCCATAGGTATGATCATAGCAATGTCACATTTTCTGTTAGTATTTATACTAGACATCGGTGACTTGGCCTACTATTAGCCACAACCTGACCATTCCTGCTCGTTTTGATAATTATCTTATACTTCCGTCACAAGTCTTTTGTCATGGAATAAAGTAGATTTCAGTTGTGATGTTTATTTATCACTGTTATTGTCATCATTCCTTTGATTTTGACGCCATTTTTTGTATTGAACAGACTCTAATATGTAAACCAGACCCGAACCGAAATCCGGAAAAATGGAACCAGAACTGAACCAAACAACTTGGACCGCAGTTCTCGGTTATTTCGGGTACTCGTGACAGCCCTAATTTATGCCCCAAAAAAGTATTAATACACCACTTTATACTATTATCTTAAAGAATATGTACAAGTAATACAACTTATAAATTGAATTTTAAAATGTGTGATTTGTATATTTCATTTATGCAAACTCTGAAAAAAAAAAAATTCTGAAGTGTTTATTACCTATTTCTGTTTAAATTTCAGTAATAAATTGGATGAAATGAGATTTAAAGTTCAAGCATATTTAAATTTATCTGCATGTTCTGCTTTAATTAAGTTATAATTTACCCCAACATTAATTTTCTTTCTAAAAATAACTAAACTACTAAATTTAACAATCTGTGAAAAGCAAATTTTATTCTTAATTAATCTCTTACAATTAGCAATGATAAATTCCTCCATTTTAAATGTTGATCAGCATCTCTAAGATTGAGTCATTGAATTTACCCCCCCCCCCCCCCTTCCCAAATTTGTTCTTAATCCAACTCTTTGATTTTCTCAGTTTTAAGAACTGATTTTTGATGATAAAGCTTGTTGTTATATCCTTATATTCATGTTTATTTTATGCTTCATGTACAGTGTCACATAGGCATTCTGTCTTAGGAAATAATTAAAATTTCTGTGAATTGCAATTTTAATCTTTTCATCAGTCTCTTTTTTTAATTGTGTTTCAAGTTTTAAATGTACAATTAATCAATTGGTAATTTGGTTTCATCTTATAAGTGTAAATACCTTAACTATTATTTAAGACTTACACGTACCCAGGGCTAGACAAATAGCATTGCCCGACGCCCGAGACAATCAATTTTGTTTGGCGGGCAAGTTATTTGATAAGTGGTACCTGCCCGCGGACAAGTGCTTCTCCAGTTAACAAAAAATCAAATGTTGTTTGTTTTATCGCTGTTGAAATGTAATGAATCACAGTAGAGCACCTGTTTTTCGCTGCTGTTCATCACTACATCGAATACTCGGTCGGAACTCCTCTAGATTTTACCCATTTATGTGTAGTTAAAATACACACAGGACGTAAAACATCGCAGCTATCGATTCCATGTCAAAAAAGTTGAAGAGGATTTTAGACCTTTTTAGGTATTGTAAAAAATAATGTAAAAATTCATGCCGTGAGTACAAACGTGTTATACTGATATTAAAATTGGAGCTGTTGACTGGCGATCACTGAAAGTCACAATCGACATGCAGTGGTGGTTTTCATAATCAAATACTTTATAATATTCAAAAAAATTTTTTTTTTCTCTTTCAGTATTTTTGGGATGTTAAAGTAATACAGAGAAAAGTTTAAATTATGCGCACTGCACAAGCTAAGAAATCTCCCTGGAACAAGATTTACCCCTAAATTTTTCCGTGCAAAAAATTAAGCTATTTTATTTCTAGTTTCGTCCCCATGTAGTGTACGTATCAGTTGAGAAATAATTTAATGTTTAACGATAATGCTTTAATTTTATGTTAATTAAGAAAAAAGTGGGACAAGCATATTTTTTGGTAGGACAAGTAATTTTACGATGGTAACCTGTCCGAGGGCAAGTACTGAAAAATTCTATTTGTCTACCCCTGACGTACCTAATCAAAGGTCAGAAAATGATTTTTCAAATTTAAGTAATAAATTTGATTAATATATTCATATGCATAATTATGTTCAGGCTATTGTTCGTGTAGCACTCCTTTCATTAAAAGCAATGGAGCCGAGGCCCACTGCTTTTAAGGAATGGAGCACTACGAGTATATTAACCCGCTTAAAATCCACTGTTTTAAATGCTTGTAATTATTGTTTGTTAATATATCATAAAAAATATATAAAATATACACAATAAATATATCTTGAACATATTAGTAGTATTTTATATATATAGAGAGAGTAAGGCGAGTAAAGTGTTATAAAGAAATTTAAATCTCTGTCAACAGCTTCGATAACATAGTGAGATAAGTGTTTGACTACCATGTTGAGGATACTGGGATTGATTCTCAATGGTACCAAGGTTTTATTTTTTTTAATATGAAAACAAATTTAACGAAATTTTCAAAGTTCTTTCCTCAGTAGAGGCACTGGAAGGATAATTTGAACATAGCAAATACCGTTTTCAATATAATTTGCAACTCCCCATTCCTGAAAAATAATGGAGTGCTCAAACAAAAGAGTCACAAGTCACAAGTGGATTTTAACTATAAATAATACTGAATAAGCATTTCATTTACACAACATTATGACATCTACAATATCCTGTTGATAATTAAACATCAGCAACTAATGGCCTTTTGGCAGGGCAGATAAGAAAGAGTCTTAATACACCCCCCTCTGTGAAAACATACTTATCTTGAATCTTAAACAGTGATAACACTGTTTTGTGCATGTCCAAGATGTTGTCAAGTTAGTGTGTATATGTACATGCCATTAGATGTCAATTAAGGCCACTGTTACAGTTGTAAATTGTTATCTTTATGACAGACCCACTAATGGATCAAGACCCTGGGTGTTCTTATAATCACACAGGATTATTAATCACAGATACAAGATATATGCAAAATTTATTGCTCAACCAGCAGGGTGTTATTTCAATGAATTTTGCTTTGTATTCAATGCATCATTATTAATGATAATATAAATAAAATTTGGTCATTTAATGCCTCTACAATTGCCTATAGAGTGCAAACATTATGAGTTTATATTAATATTATATAAAAAGGAACATTCTATGTACATGTAAGCATGTAGAGCAGGATTGTCCCTAAGAATTCAAATAGTAGGGGATATTAAAAAAGTAGACGGGATCTGATGTTTCTTCCTTAAGAGGGAGATGAAAGGGAATACCAGAATAACCGGTGTTTACATCATTATTGACAGGGAAATTCCCCACCCCAAGGTCTTAGGGACAACCCTATTAGAGTAAGACCAATGTACAAAATAAATAAAATATGTATTATTATACCTCTTCTATTTTTCTATACATAAAAATTTGATCAAATAGATGTGAACAATTCCCTATAAATTTTGAGTATGGACTTATAATTTTGCCAATAAAGAAATTGTCAAGATTATAGATTATAAAAATTGCCTGAACTGTCAAACCTTTTCCATTAGGAAAGATGTGCATGTGTTTTATTGGGTGGGGGAAGGGGGTATTTTTCAGGGATAGCTTTTCATAACATTTTACAAGGGGTCCATGTTTTCAGGGGGGGGAGGCATGGTTAATTTTTTTGTTACTTTTCATAAAAAATTGATATATCCTTAATCTGTGTAGGACTTTCATTTTCTGCCAGTACCCAGTACTTTTACCTTGATGAAATTATGAATGTACAAGTCAAACTATTTGATGAAGAAAAATTTTAAAACATATTTGATAAATAAAAAAAATATTTCCAAAAGGTACGTGTCCCCTATTTTTGTAAAAGTACCAACTGTTTCTACAATCGCAACTTCTCGGGCCTTTCCAACTACCGGAAAAACAACCTCGAATGTATTACATAGACGCCATGACAACCTCCCTTTTCACAAACTTTAAACTAAATGTGGGAAGACCTCTTTTCTGTGGAGTATGAAGTTAAACTTTATTAAATGTAAAGATATTATCTAAAATAGACTATAGAAAGGACTTTTAACTCCGTCTATCCTATAGTTTAATAAATAGGAAGTTGTATAAATTTTTAACATCTGGTGATGTTAATACATTTAAGGTTGTTTTTTCAACCTCTGACGGAAAGACCCGAAATGATGCCATTGCTGTTTCTAATCTCTTAAAATACACTGGAATAGTTTAGTTTGTACATCTAATTGAAAAAAAATGATGCTAAATGGTGCCCCCCCCTTTAATTTCTTTGTCATATATAGTAAAGTTTAGTAAACTAAACCTAAAAATTGAGACATTATACTGATAAAATAGCTCACCCCCTCCACCCCAATAAAAAGAACTTTAATTTATTTCTTTGGTTTGTTAATCCTTTAATTTCTAAGAATTATTTGAGTTGATTTTTTTAAGTCCCTCCCTCCCCCTCAGGGTTAAGAAATAAAAAAAATTGTCTCAGTTTTCTTAAGCTCTCAACCATGGGGCCCAACATGCATATTGTGAGATATATCTGTGAACATGCTCAAACCGTACAGAACAATAATGTATGATTTTGAAACTTAACAGTCGGAACTCTTAAAAGGTTTTAATCACAAGCTCTTCATCACATGAATTTAATACTTGCTCGATTCGGATGGAGACCTAGCTGTGCTTTGCGTTCTTCTAGAAATGAACGTTCATCGTGTTTAGGAACAAAAGATGAATTTTAAGTTACAAAATGCTTATCATGCTAACTACGGACATACTTACATGGCAATCCTTTGTTCTCCGTTGAGCTGTTGTTGGCGCACTTTTCCGAAGACCTCCTAGGCGGGGATTCTCAGCATCAGTAACTTCTACGTCGACGTATTCGTTATTCGCTTTGTTTTGTTTTGTATTTTACCAAGTATACGAAATTATATACATATCTTAAGGTTCAGACTTATCGTTGAAATCAATATGATTCGTTTTAAATTGATGCAATGTTCTTTAGAAAGTATACTACAAATCTGAAGAAAAAAGAAAAAGCTTCCAAATCCCCGAACTAATTTACATCAGCAGCTAGTTAAAAACTAACCAATAGGATTCTTCCTTCTCCATGCGCGGCTACTTTCTTTGTTCACACACAGTTTAAAAATGGAAGTCGGGTCCGATGTTTTATTACATTTGGAAAAAAGATGGATTGGGATTCAGAGGCAACAGAGATTGAGGAGGAAAGTTTACATCTTCACTTTTCATCAGGAGGCGAATGTTCTGAATCTATCTTATCTACGTCAACCCCACAAACAAAGGTTTGTTTTAGATTTAACTTTTTTTTTCGATAAGCTAAAGCAGGGATTGATCTAGATATTTTATTTGACTACTCTTTTCATGTAAAAGGGGAAAAATGAGAATAATTGCTCGACATTCAGTGGCGTATAATGTGTAGGCTAGTGTGAAGTCACAGATTTATAACCTGAGGTGCAAAGTGAGGTATTGGGGGGGAGGGGGGGGGTCAAAGGAATCATTTTTGCAAACCCAGACATCTACAAATTTAATCTGGCCAGTAAAAATAATATTGTAGACATATTTTCAGTTTATATTGTGATATGAAGACCACTTAACAAAACTGAACTCTTAACTTATCCTTTTATTCTGCTCAGAAAATATGGAAACCTTCTTACTGAATAATCAAAATTCGAACAATACGTTTAATTTCCTACAAACCAAATAGATTTCAAGTTATCAATTTCATTTCCTGCACTTATTGCTTTTGATGAAATTTTCTGATACAGACTTAATAATAATAGCACTTTTATTTTGGCTTAAAAAATTCCAGTTATGGGAATAGTTTTGTCCTTAAATATAAAGTAAAACTGTAAGCATAATAGGATATGTATAAAAGTGTGGATTGCTAAGAATGCTTTTTTGGCATTTGCAAAAAAATTAAATTAATAGGTACAATTTCAGGCAAGGATCCAGGAATTTTTTCGGGGGGGGGGGGGGGGCGAGGGGGGGGGTGTCCACCCCTGTCAAAAAAAAAAATCCAACCCAAAAATTTCTTGACAAGTAAAAAAACCAAAAAAAAAAAAAAAAAAAAACCAAAAAATAACCAAGAAAAAAAAATGTAAAATTCATTTCCAAAGGTGAAAAACACATTTCATGGTGATGGTGGTGTCCACGTTTTCTGGGGGGGGGGGGGGGGGGTCCAAAGTCATTTTCCATTTGCTTCAGTATATACTTTTAGAAACTCTGCAAATTCGGGGGGGGGGGGGGGGGTGTTGGTGGGGGTTCAAGACCCTCTCCCCTTCTAGATCTGTGCATTCATTTATTACTAACTCCTCGCCCCTTTATTCAACCAAATTTTTATCCCTGAGGAAATGATGTGTAGGCTACAGCCTTTTTGCCATAGTATGGAATATACGCCACTGACATTATGCTGGGCGTGAATATACAAAGGAAGTCCCGGGACATGCTCCCCTGGAAATTTTCAGATAAATGAAGCAAAAATCTGCATTCTGAGAGTTAATCTAGGTGTCATTTCTAAAACTTTTATAAATAAATAATATTTAAAATGTTACATGTTTGTATAATCAGGGGAATTTCTGTAGCTTAAAGGGAATTGTCACATTTTTTTCAAAGGGGAAAGGTACTGTTTAGCAGTATTTAAATCAGCATTGATAAATCCCTGTAAAGGAACCCCATATTTGAATTTTTTCAGATCATATAGATATTCAGATAGCCTAGCAGAAGAAATTGCAATTGAATTGTTAAAACAAAAGAGCATTTAATATGCTTTGGGGTTTTTTGGTGTTTTTTTTTACCAGATATTTTTATCTATATCTTACTTGTATCTTCCACTTTAAGATTATTTTGTGCAATATATGTGCAAGGGCACTTTAATTTCGAAGTTATGAAATTTGTTCCATACAATATAGTTTTAAATGAAGTTATTGTTACATTTAATTATTTTATTGTTGAGCTTTTTGAAGGGTTCAAGTTGTAGACTGCAGAAATATGTTTTTCAAATTGTGTGTGTGTGGGGGGGGGGGGGGGGCACAAAAATATTTGACTAGCAAAGAAAAAAAACCTGAACTATCTTAGACTTGAAAATCCTGGGGGAGGTGGGGTGATGGGGACATTAATTGATAAGATCTTTTTAATGTTGTTAATCTCATAAAAGCCTTACTGATTAGCCTTACAGTAGAAGTAAAATTTAATTCGCATTAGTTTATTTTGCATTAATTTACTGCGAATTAAACTCTCCATGTACAGAGGGCATTAAGAATGTTGATTTTGAGTGTTTTTAAAATAGCAAGAAATACAAATATTGATTCAATTCCAGTTATAATTAAATTATGCATGTTCAATAGTCATAAATTTCATAAATTTGAACAAGTTAGATATTATGATTTTTGGCATAGATGTTGTAATTGTGTGTGTTCACCAATGAATTTGCATGGATTAATTTAAATAATTGTTCTTCAGAAACATCAGGAGCAGCCTGTTTCATCTTCGAGGAAAACTGCAACAGGAACATTTGTTCACAGAGTACGGCCATTGTCTTCCTCAGATTCAGATGATATAGAACAAAGAAATCAAAGTCAAAAGGTAAATTCAAATTTTCCTATATATGAAATTAAAACAATTCCTTATATCATTTATGCATGCATGTATCATCAATAATGAGATTTCAATCTTTGTAAATTAAAAGTGCTTTGTTGTCTTTTTAGGGGAACTTAACTTTAATGAAAAAAATTACAAATTATTTTAAATTGATTATTTTAAAAGAGATGTAATTTTTTTTTTACTTCTCTAAGTATAGAATTGACATATTCTTTCAAAAATGTTTTTCTCAGACATTATCCCAGTACATGTCTCTTCCTTAAGGCAATTTAAATCAGTACTGCATGTATTTATTTACTACTGAAGATATTTCCAAGGATATTCTAGTCCATTCCTTTGGGTCACATTATATTCCAAAGTGAAACACATGATTTAATATTATCCTTGCTTAAGTTTTTCCACTTTTAACTTGTAGATTCTTTAAAAAGTTTGTCTTCTCTTTCAGAAAAAAAGGACATTAAACATACAGTTTTCAGGTGTGAGGAGGTCTCCAAGAAAAGCTGTTAAAAATAGTGATCCTCAAACCCAGCAGCCTTCTCAGTCAGAGTCTGGAAATGACAAAGACTCGCAGCATGATCACCAAGCACAAAAGGTAAGAGCTCTATTGGGAGTTAGCACTACAACATACCTGTCCTACTCTTAGGCATCATACATAACCCATTATGAAAATAAAAATGTGAAAATAATAATATTATTCTAGAATCTCTATTGAGTACAGATAAATCTTATTTATTTCCAAGGATATGGGATATATATTCAAACATTCAGTATTTTCAGATCAATTATTTTTACCTATTTTTTTTAAATGAATATGAATTTCACCTGGTAGGCCCAGTGCAAGTGAGAATAAAACTAGGGATTCTTCTTATGAATAAAATAATTATGGTATATACTCGCTTATAAGTCAGTCCGCCTATAATAATAGTATGTTTTGAAGTTATTTTGGAGAGATTTGCCATTGACCTGCTTTTAAGTTAGTACAACTTATTGCCAGAATCGGTTGACAATTTCAAATCAATGCTCTGATGTTTAAACCTGGTTTCAATTCATTTTTTAAAAATGATGCCGATATTTAATTTAAATCATTAGACAAATAAGTAATACACATTTAAGGTAAAAGTAAAATTATTAAAATATGTAAATTATACTTGTACTTTATGTATAATCTTAAAATACATAATGATGTAATACATCCGGACTTTGTTAAACGATAAGCATTGGAATTGTATTTATATAAATACATTGTCCAGTAAAATGCCAATTTTTTATGACTCATCTATCAGTCAGACATAGAGTTTTGGACCAAAATTTAACTCCCAAAAAAGCGACTTATAGGCGAGGATATACAGTATTTTGTATGTCATTATTAAATGAATATAATCATTATCAGTTGAAGAAAGTGGAAAATATCCTATACTTAAACAATGGATGTTTCATGAAATTAAATTTGGATAATAAATAGTTCAAGAGCAAGTTAAAAATTCTACACATACATATGAACTTAAATTATAATATAAATGAAAACAATAAAAATTTCAAGAATTAGAAAAAAGTTTTATCCCACTTTTTATCACTTGCCTTAAAAACACTGACAAAATCACCGTTTCTGACATGTAATCATAAATTATCTTTTCTCTATCAGAAAAACAGAAGTATGGTGCCCACTACAGTGGTTAGGAGATCTCCTAGAAAGCAATCGCAGGGCATTAGTTCTTCATGGATGAGACAACTCTCCCCATCAGAATCAGATAATTCAGATGACCTCCCTACTTTCCAAACTCAAAAGGTGAAATTCAATGTAAATATAAGTCAAGAACATATAAGCAAGGGGTGTTTTACAATATATAATATTTGGCATGACTTATGCTTATACACATGTACATGTATCTATATATTACAGTGGAACTGTACAGGTTTGTGGATTTTTTGATGTATTATTAATATTTTTTGCAGAGAAAAAGATCTACAGGACAAAATAATCCACAAAGAAAGGCCCAGCAAGTTCAGTCTGTTGCTTCTCAGGAAACAGTGATGGTAACTTTTTTAATAAAAATAGAGAGATAAAGTTTATTCAAAAGCTGTTGCAAAAATATTGCTGAAAGTTATGGAACATATCAGTGTGCATGACTTTAACACTTCAATTTATATTATTGCTTAGACACCATGTAATGCAAACCAAAGTCAGCCAGCCAGCGTATCATCAGGAAGAACACCATCAAACAGTTAGTTAAATTTATTTTGAATTTTAAATTTATATGTTTATACAGTAGAACTACAGCGTTGTAAAGACCTTGCTTATGAGGAAATTTTGGTGAGAAGGTAATTTTTATAAATCCCATGGAAATGTTCGACCTTTTACTTTGGCAGTCAGGGCCTGGGGCATAATACAAACAAGTTATTGTCAAAAATAACTCAAATGAGTTATTTTTTTGTGACAATGAGTTACCTCTCTTTGCTATGACCTACTTTTTTACAGCATTAGTAACTCAAACAAGTTATCTTTCCAAAAATACACCTGTAGTTTCAATGAAATGATAACTTGTTTAAGTTACTTTGTGTCTTTCCTCCCTAACTTCACACCCCGTGCACCAAAGGTTTTTGCTCGTGCACCAAGACAAAAACAAATGATTCATTAAATTTAAACCTTTCTCATTACAGAAAAATTGTTCAATTTTGGGGGGAAGTTAGGGATAATTTTTTATTTAATGATAAAAAACTTGACCCAAACCATGTAAATAACACCCCGAAATAAGAAGTAAAATGCTTTTTATCTCCGCCTCCTCACCAGTTCTCCATTGAAGTCAGTGCACTCCATCTAGTATTACATAATGGAATCCCAAAATGCAATGCATATTGGCAGGAAACACAAAAACCTTAAGAAATAAATGTCCAAGTAGGATTATAAAGGTTATCGTTGAAAAAAATTGTATGGGTGTAAAATAACTTATGTAAGTTATTTTTCTAATAACCTGTTTGCATTATGCCCCTGACTGTTAGGTAGGGATAAGAACTTGATCAATTATGTTGATAAAAAGATACATATGATGCAAAGAAAAAAAATCACTGGTATTTTATATACAAGTGTTGAAAAAAAAAAACACCTGCTTGAAGTGTTCAAGATATTTTTTGTTAATACGTTTACATAATGTACATGTATCTCATAAATTTCATTTAGGCAGTGGTCTGAAAACGCAAATTTCACAGATACTTGCAAACCAAAATGAAATTCTTCAACAATTGGCCATTGTAAAGAAAGATGTCCGAGAAGTTAAAGCAGAGATTGAAAAGAAAAAGCAAGAAATCAGTGAACCTGTACAGGTTCCAGCAAGGATTAGGGTGAGGAATTTAGAATATAAGCTAATTTGTCCGAAAAACATATGATACAGTTTCTAAAGAATTCCGAAAACAGAATGTTAACAACTACATGTATGTATGTGTGAAGTCTAAAAGAATTTTTTCTTTTTTTTCGGGGGGGGGGGGGGGGGTTAAAAGAATGGGCACAATTTTTTTTCAATCAGAAAATATGTAATGATTCTGTTATACATGTATTAATATAATAGAACTAGAATCAAATATTTCTTCTGCAGAAATTTAAGCAGTGCTTTTTAGAATGAACTTCTTCTAATGATGTTATTAATCTTTCTTTTTAGTAGGGGCTTTTTTTGTACTTCCTCTTAAGTCATAGTTCATTTGATATTGTAGCTATAAAAAATATAGTTCATTCAGTGAAGGTCAGCTTGTATTGTAATCATATTGTATTGCACCCCTGCACTCTAGAATGTATATAAATACACCATAATTGTTTTCTATTCAGAGTGCAGTGAAGGACTCGTATTTAAATGGCCAACAGACAAATTTGAAATGGAACTGCAATAAAAGGTATCTTTACATACGTATACAATCACGAACACTTTTCCTTGCATCCATCAAAGCCTACGTCTTTATGTATTTTAATATAATTTAAAATAACTCGTGAAATGTTTTACTATGATATATAACATAAATATTTTGTAGATTCATGGATGAAGAAAACTCTGAAATGACAGATTTTATTAGGAAAAGTGTGCAAGGAATCACTCCAGATGAAAGCATTGATGTTATAAATGGTACCTAAATAAGAATTACTATATATTATAGAAAAATTCCTGTGTTTAATACATTGCATTTTATATATATCTGAAGTGGAGTACATTCTGTATGCATTAAAAGAGAAAATTCAAATTCTGAGTAAAAGTTCATTCATTTGTTTAAATTTGAGCTATTCATAATAAAAATTGAATGCAATTTAAAGTTAATTGAAATCAGAGGCTGCAAATTAAATTAGTGTAATTAATTACATTGAACATTTTTTAAATAATAAGTGCCAAGCTTTTGTGTAATGACCAGTTACTTTTATGTTTTAGCTGCAATTAAAAGATATTTTACGTCACAAAAGGAGGCAGATAACAGACAGAAAAAGAACAAAACAGATTTACATAAAAAGAGACAGGCAACTTATGAGAGAAAGAAAGAGGTAAACTTTTTAGATTTTTATGTTGGGTTGATCATACAATCAGTTAAACCTCAGGTGACTGAAATATTCTTGTCAAGAGTAGAAGAGTTAAATTTACCTTCACATGGGAACTGACACTGTTTTAGGGTCACCTTGGCTGTTCAAGGTCATTGCAAGTTTTCATTGGCTTACAATATTTCTTAAAGTTAAAAGCTTGGCAAAGAGAAAAGAAAAGAAAAGAATCCAGAATTGTGATGAGTTAATTGAATCATGAATTATCACCTGAGGTGGGGGGGGGGGGGGGGGGGGGGGGGGGAGAATGAAGTAGCCAAAAGAATTTCATTTGAGTGTTTGCTGATATGAACATTTCTCATTTGAATACAAGTAAAGTGTTGAATTAAAAAAGATTTGGATAAAATTATTTTTTCAATTGATGCAAATCTTAGACAATTTAAAGATATGTTATTAATTAAAACTGAATCAATGTATCACCTTTGCTATCCTTTAAATGTATTTAAGTATGTACATGCATATGAATGAATATCTAAAAAGTCTCCTTGAAAATGGTTTTTATCAGCATTTTATTTAGTAACTATATTGTCTTTAACAGAAATTAAAGAGAAGACTAGTAGCCCTTGAAAAGAAGACAGGGTGGTCTCAGGAGAAAAAGGTCAAGGTCAAGTCTTTCCTTCAGTTGCCGAATGCCTACAAATACATGAGTAGTGATGAGGAGGGAGATGATGGTTTTGTGTCGCATTCATATTCCTGGGAAAGTGAAGAACTTCAAAAAATTAAAGATAGCTTAGACAAAAAATATTTAGATACTTGTCCTCCACGCAGCAAAAGACTTCTGTCAAAGAGGAGCAGGGGGTCAATAAGACAACAAGATCCCCCAAAACTAGCCAGTGGACATGATTGGGTTCTGAACATTGACTCTTAAATTTATTTTTTTTTTCCTGTTTGTAAATATTGAATAACTGTTTACTTAACTTGTTTTACATTAGATTCGACAAATTGTATAAAGAACATAGCATTCCATATCTCATTTTTGTATTTACTTCAATTATTCAGACACAATATTTTGATGTCTTTTTTCAAATATATATTCATGCTTTGTTTGTGTTATAAACATGTATCTAGGTTTGATATTGAGTATGCATTAGTGATCAACTTCCATTATATTTTATGTATTTTCAAATGTTTAAGAAATGAAGTAATAAATAGCTACTGATTTTTAAATTTGTTTATGTAATTTATTGACATCAATTCACAGGAGGAACTGTCCTGAGTCCAGATTTGAACACACAATCAAAGCAATCAAATATAATTTTTGAAAAGGATTGAAACTGTGTTGTATTAAAGTTGTGAAATGGGGAGTATAAAGTGTAGGGGTTAAAATTATACACCTTTAATTATAATTAAATTTAATATTTACTTGAATTAAATTCATTGGCAAATAAGATCTTTAAGTTTTTGTAAATACATATTTACTGTGGTAAATATAGTATTTAGTTTTTTGTAAATACATTGACAAAGACAACCTTTGAATTTCAGTAAAGTTACATTTACTTGAGTAAATATTGTATTTAATTTTTTTGTAAAGATGTTGTAAATTGGGCCATTACAAAAATTTACTTCACAGTAAATGTAATTAAAGACCATATTTACCAACTTTTTCTTATTTAAGTAAATGTGCTTAAATGTAATTAAAGACATTGTAAATATTACATTTACAATACCTTTACTTACTTTGTAAAGACAGTTTTTCATGCAGTGTAAATTAGTTTGATATGAATTATTTCATTGGTTTAATGATGCAGTATTTGAATTTGATAGGAAATGTTGCAAGTGATTAAATCAGCCGAAATCATTATAAACCAAAGATTGTTGTTGGTATACCAATTACGAGACCTTTAGATACCTTTATCTACAAGTAAAACACTATTACTGTTATTTAATCAGTCAAAACTAATGAAGACGCCCTACCTGTAACTTAGTGAATAATAGGCATAAACAAGCACCTCGTAATGGGACGCCCGAGCCCATTTACCTTCAGTGTACCGGTATGCAGCTATGTCGGCACACACTCTAAATCCGGGTTATGTTACGTAACTATTTTACTACTGTTACTGCGTCTGTTTTCCTGATAATACGTAAAACAATAATTTTATTTTTTTAAATATTGATTAAACAGAATTATAGCTAGTGTTCACTTTCAACTGAGTCAGAGTAGCTGTGACTCAATTTTTAAAGCATACTCTAAATCTAGTTTGCTGTAAATGACGTTGTCAAATGCGTCAAGGCCCATAAAGTATTTGTTTGAATGTGGTGCCTCCGAGAAAGTTTCTCAAATTTACTTCGACTTTTCTTTTCATACGCGGTTTGTAGCGTCTTATCCATTCATTTAAACGTATCCACAACAAATGACACCTAGATTGATAACAAATGTTCAAGTTTAGCTGAATTAGTTCTAAGTGAATTTCTCCTTCAAGCGCGTGAATATTTTGAGTTAGACTTTGAACATTTCAACGTGCGGAAGTAAATCTATTTGGGTCAAATGATATGTTGTTTGAAGCACTTGTTGATATACTAGATCCTGAACATTCGTCATTTGGTGTTGAGGTAATCCCTGGATTTATTTCAATATAACCTGGCAGAACAGCTGCAGTATGTTCTTTGAAAGACTTTTTTTCTCGCACGAGCCCCTAACTTGGACGTAAGAGTATGAATATTTTAAACTGACATTTCAAAACAACATAGGGCTGTTTTGGATATTTGAAAGTCAATAAAGTATGAGGAATAAAAGTGAAATATATGGCAAATCATCGGATACCATTCTTAAAGCAAGGAAAAGCCTAAAATACAAATTAAAAATGCCCGAAGCGAGCGACAAAAAGCGGCGGTGTAAGAGCAGAATGGCCATAGTTACTCAGGTGAACTTTGTGGTCTATGGGCCTCCTGCCTTGCGATTTTAATGAAAACTATAGTAAGAACAAACAAAATAATGAAAGAAAATTGAGTATCATTTTTTCATAATATTTATAAAGATTTCGTTTAAATATGTTCATGATTATAGATTTAAAATGTGTCTTAAAATATGTAAAAGCAATTTATGTTAGCGAACAGTTTATTTCTGCTAAATGTTTTATTTATTCTCCTGATCTTCATCTGTTTCTGTCAAAGTAAATGCTTTTTTTAAATAATGTATCACATGATAAGTGTTTCTGTATTTAGAAAGAGCATTCAACATATCTGTGTTTAAACATATAGGCTAAATATAAATTCATATTTTCTCCTTCAAATGTATATATTTTCCTGCTCTCCAAATGTTCTACAGGAAAAAAAAAAGAATAAACATGATTTTGCCATTTTTCTGATTTTCTTATTTCAAATTTCCAATTTCCTAGTTGCATTTTAACGTATTATTTGAGTACATATTTGTCTTTAAATGTAATAAAATTGAGATTTTTTCTCTTTTTTTTATCAACATTTAAAACAAATATTTTACATGCAGCACATCTTACGTGTAGTGCTCATGAGTCAATATTACGCAACAATAATATATATATATATATATATATATATATATATATATATATATATATATATATATATATATATATATATATATATATATATATATATATATATATATATATGTAAGATGTCTCACCTAATGGAGACTGATAAGTATTGATATGTTATTAAATGTTTTCCCTTAAAAATTATAATCTCTAAAATGTGTTGAGAATGCTAATACGTTTGCATAACTAACAGTAGCATCTGATACATGTTTACATATGACCGTGTTTCATTTAAATCAAACACACAAAGTTAAGTTTTATAGAAACTTTCTTAATAAAAGTCAATCCCTTGCACAGATTATCATTTTATATTTCTATCAGAATCTTCAAATTTCCATGAGAGAAAAGTTGGTTATGAAGACAAAAATTTGAAGATGATGATCGTAGGAGAAGATCCGAATGGTCAAACTAATCAACCAACAACAATAAAAAAGGATATATATTTGAATTACGACACTTTTCTAATACTTTGCTTCGTTGACATTATTCTATGCAAAGGGAATTTAACCAAAATTTAAAAAAAAACAAACAGTAATTTGAAAATACGTATTGCTCATTTTTAACTCTTTGCATTTCAACACGGATTCTTAGATTCAATCATATTTACATTATGTTTAATTAAAATAAACAACACAGTGCTCTGCAGCTCAAAAGAAACATATTTTCACCTTGTTGTCAAGTACAGACAGATTATTTCTAATAATAATTTTTATTAATTGTTTTCCTTAATTTCGAAATTTAACTTTCATCAAACCTTTATTTAAAAAAAAATTCTGGAGTGTCATGATGATATTTCCCGTACCTGTACTTTTTGAAATATTGCATATAGAAATTCTGTCGTATTCCCAGGATTCAACACTCAACATATTGGACATTATATATTTTAACAGCAGAAAGAGTGAGTCTTATTCAACGACTTGACATTTTATGGATTATGTTAAAAGTATAGTGTATCGATAGAGTCATTCATTCTATAAATTGCTATAGTTGCGAGAAAACAAACTTGTTGAGAAACAGGGATACGAGCATTACACAGCGAGTGAGGGAAGACACTATCGACATTATACGAGGGTTGTACAATAAATTCGTGGGCATTGCTTTTTTGTCGGAAAAAAAAACAATAAAATGCACGCACTGAGCTGAAATTCTCAACAAATGTTTATTCATCATATTTAAGTCTATCTTAATATTTTTTTTTACTAAATAATGGGCAAAGGTAGGGATTTTATTATACCTGAATATACACTGGGTATGGTATTAAGGCACAGGACCAAGAAATCAAGAAGTATGCGATTATCTTTTTTTTCGAAATAAAAATACTAAACAGATAAGGTTGGGTAAACATTATATTTTTAATTCAGTATGTATTACGTCGTCAGTTGGAATATTTCAAGGAATTTGTTTCACTTCTGGCAGTTTCCGAGGCTCTATAATGGGAAAGTGGTAAACGAAACATGCAAACACTGTTGACGTTTGATGACGTAACGGTGCACGGGAGAGCAGTTCAGTTATATGTTGATTGAGTAACGACTCCTTAGGAGACTTTAAATGATCAGAGAAGTAAACAAAATATAAAAATATCACTAAAACATTAGAATACAAGAGGAATGGACATTTCTTAAGCGGAGGCTTTTTGATCGAGTCCCCCATAAATCAAAAAGGTACAGATAATCAGCTATTTGCTACAACTAAAGAAGCTATCGATTCAGACAGACGAAAAATAAACCTTTTTATTTCAGTGAAAACGAAAGTACCTTCCATAACTTACTAATACAAGTTTTCATAAGCACCATATGTCTGCGAAATTGGTCCCTCGACTGTTTGCAGAGGAATAAAATAAAAACTCTAGTTAGTGCTTCAGTTAAGTCCTTTGAAGTTAAGTTGGACTTATCCAACTTTTTAAAGCAAAGATGAAACATGACGTTGCTTTGGACATTTTGACGTAAAGCAATACCATCCATAACATTAAATTCAATATTTTGTTTATTTGAATATATAGCTCTTTAAAAATTGCAATGTATATTGATGAAAAATGTACTAGGGAGTGAAGAAAATTCTGGAGTGCAGTGTTGATTATTTTTCACACTAGACTACTTGTCCACGGTGTCAGTCAGGTCATTTCTCTCTAAAACCCTTTCTCCCCTAGGTTATTTCTCTCCAATTCCATTTCACAGTAGGTCATTTCACGGCAGGTCATTTCACTCTCCTATCTAGGTCATTTTAATCCATATCTGTCTGTTTTACTTAGACAGAAGTCTTTTCAAATAAAAATCATAACAATGATAGAAAGGAAAAATTTTATTCCAGAGTAAATCAAGTTTAATAAAACGATCCTTTAAAAAAAAAGTTTGTTTGTTGAAGCACACGATTTACAAGATATTGTCATAAATAAATCAAAATCGATACTATATAGCGAAAAGGAATTTACTTTTATCACAGACCAGACCAAAGATAGGGGCCACCCCCCCCCCTCCCAAAGTAAACTACCCAAACTCGAAAATCCAAATTTTGTTCAGGGGAGGAGGACCTTTCTCTAACTCAAACTTTTAGTACATTTATTTAAAATGCTATTTGCCTGTGTTTGACCGTACAGCAACAAAAAGAATGTCAATTTACAGAGTAAAACCTTATCAACAAGACAATTCTCAGAAAGAAACAGGCCCATAGGAAGCAATTTCAGTTTGTTTGGTTTTTTTTTTTTTGGGGGGGGGGGCACAACCATACATTTTCAGTTTGGGGGAGGGGGCACTATCAACTACCAAAAAAAGAAAAAAAAAGAACAACAAACAAGCAAACAAACAAATAAACAAAAAAGTCATCAGACGTTTTTATTGAGGGGGCACAAGCATATAGTAGCTATGTTTTCTATAGTAATCTGTATATCGGCAAAATTATTGGGGGGGGGGGGGGCGGCACGGCCTTGCATCAATTAATTTGTTTGGAAATTTTCATATCATGCATTCCAAATTTAACAACTCAACAATACGACCATAATGAAGAAAACCCGATAAGTTTCAAGTTAAATATCTTATCAGTTGCAGAAATAAAGTGCATGTTTAAAAATGTTCGCATTAAAAGAATAATTTCCACATCTCCAAATAAGAAAAAGTTTAAAGTACATGTAACTGGTCCTTCTGTGTCAATCATTTTTTTTTCTTACATCAGTGAAGGAACACCTTTCGAATGTAGAGTGTGTTGTTCTTTCAGTTTTTTTCCAAAAGCACATTACATGTTTTGTAATTAAACGAGAATTAAGTGTACTAGAATTAAGTCTCCAAGTCGTGTGTGTAATATCTGTTTTTTTTTTTTTTTTTTTTTTTTTTTTTATGTATTATTATTATTATTATTATTATTATTATTGCGTTTAACAAATATAAAATGCTATGGGTTTTTAAGCTTTTGTGTTCAGCAAATATTAACTAGCTAATATCAAAATAATTAAACATATACCTATATCTATATTGATGCCAAAAAAATATTGGAGAACTTGAACTGGAGACCCAATTAAAACATGGAAACAGTTCAGCGTACACCACACATATATTTGTCTATGCACAATTTTCTTTTACATGTATGTGAATTTAGAACCCTTTATCCTTCCTTGTTGGAAAAAAGGATATTTGAAATATTACATCATTTTTTAATAAGGGAGTCAAGTCAAACTAAAAAGACTTTAATGATATCAAAAGAACAAAAGTCATTCAAGATTTCTCTGTTTTTTTATCGGTTCAAATACGCAAACCTTTACTTTGTCAATTTGTAGTCACATGCAGGAAAAGAAATTCGTTGTTAAGTTCGATTAATTTTAAAGCATATTTAAACTAAGCAAGTATTCTTATGAAATAAAGAAACATTTTTACATTATTTAATACCAGTCGGGGTCAGTTTAATTTCGATCGGGAGAGATTCAAAATTCAAAATTAGCAAGTTTTCTTAAATTTTGAAATTTCATTTCTATCTAAAATATAATTATTTAATATTTCTTTTCTAAATGAATAATTAAGAACTAAATGAACTATCAATCTGTAATTGAAGCAATTAATATTGGAATTCACACATAAACATATGTTCCTAGCATGTATTATATATTGCCGTTGTACAATGTAATATAAATCTGACAGGCAATAATCAAAAAATGCATTTTTACATTACACATTGTTGATAAAAGCAATAAAAAGTATAGACAAAGCAGCGAGAACAATTAATAGTTATATACCTGATACTATTTTAATTTTTGTTATGAGCGATATTATATTGTAAAGTGTACAAAAAAATGAAATAATAGAAAAAAAAGACAATAACAATTTCAAAAAAAGAAAATTAATTTGTTTTATCTTAAAACAAGAATAAATATATAAGAAATAATTAACCCACCAACGTTTATAAATTTCAATATATATAATAGTACATGTGCTTGCATATAGCAAATAACTTTAGTATGAAATTTCAAAATTTAAAAAGAAAAGAGTTAAATAATTACGAATTTAAAAAAGAAAATTCAAATTTATAATTTTCATGTTGGGAGTGAAATAACCTAGGTTGTGGAGTGAAATGACCTAGGAAAGAAATGACTTGGGCGGAAATGAACTAGGTGGAACAGGCGCTGGAGGGAAATGACCCGGATTCCTTGTCCACGATTTTACCGGAAATCCCTCGTACTATTACTTGTAAAGGCACTGTTCATGTCTTTCATTCGAATTAACAATGTCGTTACAAACGTACAGGGCGCCCGCGTGGCGCAGTAGTTAGAGCGTCTGCACTAGAGTCGCAAAGTAAGGACTTATCCTTACGTCGCGGGTTCGAATCCCACTGTGGAACGTGGAGACCGGTCCTTCGGATGATACCGTATAAACCGAGATCCCGTGTCGCAGTAGGTGCTGGCACGAAAAAGATCCCTCACTTCTCAATGGCCCTAAGTGCTGAACATAGGACAAAATTTGCAGTTCTCCACCGGCAAGTGGTGGCGTCTCGATATGAGTGAAAAATTCTGGAGAGGGACGTTAAACAACATACAAACAAACAAATGTACAGTTTACGTACACATCCAAGGTTATATTATTACCTTTTTTCAGCTTTATTGAATTTGGAAACCAACATGATATCTCATGATTATTAGCTAGACTGCATAAAGCACAGATATCGATTGATATGATACATGAGAGAGAGAGAGAGAGTCTATTGAGGTATTGTTTATCTCGCCACTTACAATTTTTTTTAGTAGATACAAAGCTTTCTGTCTCTTAATTCTAGTTATCCAATTATTTCAACTTCGCCCATTCACATTCTTTCTGCACATACTGTAGATTCCTGATTTTTCGCGAGTACTTATTATCGCAAAATGACTCTTTAACACCAAATCACGAGAACAATAATTCGCGAGTGGACTGTTGATCAAACGATTTTACATTGATTTCAGCACCATAAAAAATAAAAGCGAGTAATTTTATTTCGCGAGTGGTTCTTTTCGCTTAATTACGCGATAATTAATTCTTCGCGTATATTTAGGAATCTACAGTCTACAGTATATGTGCCAGACCAATTTTGATTTTTTTCCTGATTTCAATTTCAGTTAATCGCTTGGGAATCACCAACTACAGCTAGAATTCCCCCTCCCCCCCCCCCCCCCAGTCTGGCCGTGGCTGAACGAAAAGAGAGTGTTTCGTAGCTCCATAAATATTGACCGATGCCAGTAAAATATTGTAGATAAGTCAAATCACTGCCACCCCCAGAATTCTCTCCTGTAAAAAGATGAAGGTCTAAATTTAGGAGGACCCAGGATGTAAGCCAGCCCCTGGCACAAGGTTTACCTTTTAATGGTATGATATCCATTGTCATCATTTTTATCAGGCTAGCTGCATCGGTTTGGGGTCCTCTTTCTTATTAATTAAGTGAAGTCTTTGATTCCCTTCTCTAACATGTATTAAAATGAGTCATTCAGGTTTCCTTTGGAAAAAGACTTACGGTAATATGAATAGGGAACCGGCCACAGCATGCGGTTCCCAATCCGAAAAGTCAATAGGGAATGGGAATAACCTTCTACATTCTGATTGCCCTACTTTAAACCTGCACATTCTAGAAAGAAAAACCGCCTCATTTATGTGAAGTTAACCAACAACAAATATTTTTTTTAATTTATTTTTTATATGACTGCTGTCACGAGAAAAGGGTCCGTAAGGTCAAAATTTCACAAATTGTCTTTTTGATAAATAATAATAGTCTGACACTTTCTGAGTTCAAATATATCAAGGTTTTAAAGATATCACGTTTAAAGATATCACAGATTTTACAAGCATTTCAATCAGTCGCCTCAAAACCGCTTTGACGTTACACATTGAAAAAATATAACGTTGCGTGGCATCAATTCCCTTTCCAGCATTCATTTATTAATAAATGACCATTGTTTTCACTTCCAAATTCATGAGACAAGATTTTATTACTACCTGTATTTTCAACTGATGTCTATACACTGAACGGAATTGCGAATCTAGAGAATGTGAGTCGATTGTAGGGGGGGGGGGGGGGGAGGGGTCACCCAGACAGAATTGATCACCTGTACAGTTATCGCAGTGGATTTTACGAGACATCTATCCACACCCATAGTTTTGTAATGTATGGTGCAAAAGCGTGATTACTGTGTTAAGACCGTGTGCCTTTGTACCATCCACTCCAATCATCTGGTCCTCGTCAAAGAGATAGTTATACTGCTTTTTGCCCCCTTCCATACACACCCCAAAGAGCTGAACCTTTCTAGGTGAGGTGAAATAAAGCTGACCCTCTTGTCTAGCATGGTGTGGAATGGTGAGCTGCTGGGCAAAGTCGAAGGTGTAGTGCACGTTGTACAAAGAAGTTGACGATGACTGTCGACCTACTGGGCGATGTCCATATTCTTCCAATTCACTCCGTACAGCCTGGACGCTTTCTCTGTATATCATGTGTTCACCAGCTCGTAATGTGGAACATACGTTACATTTGATTATTGGTGAATCCTCATGGCATTTGAAAAATTTAACTGATTTATAAAATCATTTTCAAAAATATAAACAAAAGATTATAAAATAAAAATAAAGAAATATAGGAATTCTACCTTGAGAAACTTCAATCTGATATTTAAATGCGTCTGAGGCCATCAGTTTATCTTCTTCTGTTACAGCAGCTGTTACTTGACATCTCAGCTTCTCACACTTAGTGAAGCTATTTTTATATGTGACATGCAGGTAAGCCATATCCCCTTGAGTGTTGACAGTTCTAGGGCTCTTACCTGACTCTCTTCACAGGCTACTTTGTATTCTAAATGGATGTCTGCTTTCGTCGTCGAAGCTGCTAGTAGAATAGGTGTCTCCGAAGCATCATTAGCATGTGGTACAGCTGGCAATGGTATGCCATTTTCCTCACCATATCTCAAAATAAAATTTACTACTCTCTTAATATCTGGAATTTCAAAGCATGCTTAGGTTTTTTGCCTTTGTTGCCATGCAACCTTGGAACAGGACCATTTTTTCTTTAAATGCTGAACAATGTTTTTCAATCGTTTTTCCCAAGTCGTGGATGAACAAAAATGCTTCCTTGCATATTTCGCAATCGTCATAATTGTATGCGAATCTTTGCCTCTTTTTTCACTCAAATCATCGCCGATACTTTTTAACTTTCCCATTATATACATATCTTGTTTTTCTTTGGTAAGTTCTTGCATTGTGTAAATGTGATTTTCTCAATTTGAAACTTTTCATAACATTTTGATTGACAGGCACAACCGCTTTTAACCGTTTCTTTTACCAAGGAATCTTCCTCAAAAATTGTTGCTGTATCATTGTCTTCAAAGAGATCATAATTCCTGGAAAGTCTATTAATTGTTTCTCCTTCTGTTTCATTTGTATTTGCAAGAACAGTATCGTTTTCGTTGTCAGTGACATTGTCTCAATATTTTGTAAAGATCTTGAAAAATATTCCGCATTAACTTGATCTAATTCCTAAACAAAAAAACACAAACACAGTTCAATTTGGCATATATTTCTCTAAACTAGGTAAAATTAAGATGAAATATTTTTTTTTTATCAGAATAAATTAATTTTTTGTATCAATTTCTTTATTTCATCAATTATTACTTATTCGCTTTGAACTTATATACAGTCCGGGATCATTAAATCACACCGTTCAATAGGTTTTTTTTATTAGAGCGTTCGCAATACTATAGCTACGACAAACAATCTAAAAATAAACTACATAAACTCTCTGGAAGCGTAGCGAATCACTAAATATTAATTTCTTAAATAGGTTTTAGAGTTTTAAGATTTTTATTTAATATCAAGTTTCTGTTTTACGTACTAAATACTTAAAAAAAATTATTAATGATACGATTCCAAAATCTTCAATGAATTCTCACACATTTTCACCGAGCAGACCATACACGAACAAACAACTCTCCTTAACATAAGTTTTCATTTAACAGTCAAGGCAGTGTTTGTGTAAGAGGAAATAAAAAAAGAAATGATTTAGGCAATATTTACATTTTTTTCAGAAAAGAATGTAACGGCACTAAAAAAAAGATATGCATAAATTCTTCTCTCTCTCTCTCTCTCTCTCTCTCTCTCTCTCTCTCTAAGACATCATATCATGAAATAACACTCAGTCAAAGTTAAAACGTAAATAGTATTGGGAAACTTGTATCTTTCTCTCTCTCTCTCTCTCTCTCTCTCTCTCTCTCTCTCTCTCTATATATATATATATATATATAAGGAATAACTGTCTTATTTTTTGGATTCATGATGTGATCAATCGCCGAAGGCGTTTATGCATTAAATTATCACGCAAGCCAATCGATTGATCATCGTCATGAATCCAAAAAATCTGACAGTTATTCCTTATATTTACATGCTCCTGATTCTGCAAATTCCCGTGCTAATAGCCCCGCTTCTGTCTCTAATTGTCCCGCACCGCACGTGATTTTTTTTAACCGCGCCTATCGATGAACAAGTAGATTTATGTAGAAATAAAGTATTTTTACAATTTGTAATTTTATCTCGGACAAAGACATTGGAAATGTAAATATATACATGTACATGTATCACTATGTATCAATGCATTATATCTAGAGTTGACATCGCGACTCGTGTGTATTGAAGGTCGCGATAAGTTATAGGCCGAAACCCCCAATATGATATGAATAAATCCAATTAATGAAATACATATTCTACATATTTATAATGTTATTAACAATATTTTCTATATAAATTTATATATAATTTGAAAAGAAAAAACTTTCCTTTACCTGGAAATCCATTTCTACTTTATTTTCATTGTTCATCAACACATCAAATGCAGCCGATAAAAATCACTTCCGTGTTTACAATACCGCGACTTTGACGTCGTTTTCTGAGCATTGTGACGTCTTATGATAAGGGCCCTTTTCTCGTGACGGCAGTCATATATATATATATATATATATATATATATATATATATATATATATATATATATATATATATATATATATTGCTTTTTTACATTTGTGGTTCTTGTTAATATACATTTTGTTACATGATCTGGTAATACTATGCATCTTAACTATGAATATCTTTTTTAATAAAAGACAATACCACAATATGTGTGTATATCTAAATAAACATTTTTGATGAATTCAATACATGAAGTATTATCTGTAGTATTAAATACACTTTGATTAGTTATTGATTAGTTTATACTACAAATAAATACGGAAAACATAACTAAATAGTAGGTTTTCCAAATCTTTGAAAAGAGTTCAAATTTTTCTGTGCACTTCCGAAACCAGGCCATTTACATCACGACATAATTGTGTAAAGATAAGAAGAAATAGCCGATACCAATTTGGAGAAAATTCTTAGATAAGAAAGTACAAGACTTTGTAACTGAAATACAATGTCATCATTCATATTTTGCTTTCTAATGTTTCTTCATTTTGAGGGATGCTTTGGAAATATCGAAAATGGGGCCATTTCAAGGTTGGAGAAAATGATTGCAGATTTGATAGAAGACAACGAGGCAATGAGGGAAAAAATGGCGATTATTCAGGAGGACAACAAGGAGTTGAATCAGAAGATTGACAAAGTCTTGATGGAAAACAAGCGGATTAAACGGGACATGGAGGACCAATCAAAGGCGAACGCTCTTCAGGAGAAGAAAATCTCGAAAATGGAACGCACGGTTGCTGATATATGCAAAAGACTTTAAAGAATTGTGAAATTCATAAAACATCAATACTTAACACAGGGCAAAAAATATTGCAGAAAGAAGAATTATTCAGACATGAAGACAATCACACAGCGCCTCTGATCAATGATACAACCTTTGACAAAACACAAGCACACAATTTACCTGAAAAACTGAATATCTATCACGAACAGCGCAGGAGAGTTCAACGATTACTGATGACGGGTAATAATTTTAAATTTACTGCCAATGATACTGTAACTGTTTTTTTTCCACTATGCCATAATTACGCGGAATTATATTTTTTGCAAACTATGCATTTTTCTTGTAATGCCATTGTATGTTATAAATTTAAGTCATCTTAGATTACTTTCCGTGGAATATTTAAGATAAAGTACGCAGTATGTAGACTTAATCTCATGTAGAAAATGTACTATAGTAAGTAAGTCATTATTTAAGGCCTGAAAGAAACACTTCCATTTCAGAAATGGATTCTTAATGGTGCTTCTTTATGTAATTAGAAAGGAAATTAGTTTTGCAAAACCTAAATGATAAACCATATAGGAATACTGTAAACGTACATTTTGTTGTGTACTCTATTTAGCGCCTTTTGCAGAAAGAAGCCTCTGATAAATCAAGTACACGGCCAAATGCTTTGCGTATGTATGTTCATGTAAAATGCATTCAAAAAGCACTAAATCAAATCCACACATTATTGTTGAAAATTCAATTTCATCCGCATGTCTTACACGCCAATAAAATGCATAAACAATAATTGCTATATAATATGTTATATGGACCAAAACAAGACAAATTAAAAAAAAGGGGGGGGGGCAACGAAGGTATTTTGAGCAATATCTTTCAGTTTGCTACATGTACCTACATCTAATAAAAACTTTTTTTATATATATTTAGATACGTTTTGCAAATGAGTGATGCACATTACACATTTAGCTTAGAACAAAATAACTATCTAAAGGCATTTACCCTTCCTATGCCATATTTTTAAAAATCATTTCTTGATAGTAACTATGTTTGATTTTGATTAGCATTATTTTTGTTCAATTCAGTACAGTTTATGAAATTTAGATATCAAAAGATACAAATTTACAATAAAATAATGTTGCCTCGACAATATAACTCTTATTTGTTTTCCTGCTCGAATATCTTTTGATAACTGTTCCTATTAAATACATATGTTAAACTACCTTCTTTACAGATATCCCACCTACACCTGCCGATGGTGTTGCCTTCTTTTCTTACATGTCCAAATCGGAGAATCACCCAGGCCAACATCAGACAATCATCTTCGATGTTGCACATACAAACGTCGGCAATAACTACAGTCCACATACTGGTGCCTTCACTGCTCCCAAACATGGCGTGTATGCATTTACTTGGAAAATATATGCCAGCTCTGGCGGATTCATTTTTACGGATTTGGTCGTCAACTCCAACTCTGTATGTGGGTCATTTGCTGGTGCTCAAAGTGTCAGCAGTATAGTTTCGTCAACAGATATGGCCATTTTAGAATTGAACCAAGGCGATGAGGTTCATATTCGCACACAACCAGACGTGGGAGTGAGTGGGATTTTACAAAGCACTCGCCGATACCGATCTACTTTCAATGGCTGGAAACTCTTTTGAGAATAAACCATCAAATAAAATTCAAAGGAATCCATTCAATTTCGTTCATTTTGCATATCTTACATTTCTTTTGTCTTCCGACCTAAGTGTACAATGTGTTAATTAATTTATTGTTTTTCATCTCTCTCTCTCTCTCTCTCTCTCTCTCTCTCTCTCTCTCTCTCTCTCTCTCTCTCTCTCTCTCTATATATATATATATATATATATATATACTCAATAGTAACTGAGAAACATTTGGTATATATTACGTCGTTACCATTTCTATATTTATCTCAACATTTATATACCGGTAAATATAAAACACAGATACACTGCTTATGAACTTTTTTCTTATTAACAAACACACAATATTGATTTTCTTCAGTATATTTTCCTCAAATATCCCGTAATA